GGCTGGCTTTGGACGACGAATTAAAAATACCACCAAATTTCAAAGAAACAAAAGTAGTAAACAAATCGTCCCCAGACTATTTTTGAATATTCCTCCTGTGGAGGGACAGGCCCGACTTAAGGGTGGGGCCTGGCTCGCTCACGTCCCAGTGCCACCAAACACGACACGCAATCACATTCCCCGAGCCCGTTGGGAGGGGACCTAAGTTAGGAGGGCCAAACACATCATGGATAAGGGGGTCCCTTCTGCAGATGTATCAGACCAGACCGCCCAGAGGTATTACCCCTGATGCAAGGGCGGGGACCTAAGTGAGGTCACGTCCTCACAATGTTGTTTTGATTAGGGGTTCCAGCGTGCCCCAAGATGGCATCGGATGCACGCGATGAAACCGTTGTGGGGGTCTCTTGGGCAGCCTCGGGGGCCCTCGGGCCCAGCCTGAACTGGCAAATTACTTCATGAACGAAACAAACCCGGCGGGATTGTGTTTCTGATACTTTTTCTGTCAGCCCTATCGCACATCAGGAGAAACTTCCCAAACAGCACAAGAGGCCCCGAGCATCGCTCTAAGACGGCCCCTGAGGTTCCCAAAGGCCCCCACCTGGGGCCCAAGAGGCCTCTACGAGAACCGCAAGAGGGAGTTGACCAAGTGCGCCGTGCTGCGGCAAGACCGCGGGAAGCCCTCCCCGTCCAATGTTGGCACACCAGCCTCTACGGCCTCCAAGGGACCCCCCAGAAGGCTCGCGAGGCGCCCCCTTGAGAGGCCTCGGGAGGCCATCGACCAGCTCCCAACAAGCCCCCAAGAATCCCCCAAGAGGTGCCCCAGAAGACGCCTAGGAGGCCTCCCAGCCAATTCCTGAGGGAGAACGCCCCTGTCCCGGCGGCGATGGCCTTTTGGCCCTGCAGGGTGCCCGCGCACGGCGCGGGGTGCCTTGCGCCCTGCTGGAATAATCATCTACGCATCGCTCAACGCATGGCTCGAAAATGCCTGTGGTCCACGACCTAGGCACCGTGACCGGAATGGCCCTAGGCCATCAGATCTGCCGCATCTTCCCTTTGATCCCCTCCCCACCAGGGGGACATCCCGGGGGCGGTCGGATGTGTGAATTCTCGAAGAGGCCTCCAAGACGGCCCACGAGGCCACGAGAAGACCCCCGCGAGCGTCCAATAAGCAAAACACATAACTGGTGAAACATGTTCTGAAGGATTTCAGCGTTTCGCCTCTCGCTCTTCCAACACTCCAAGACGACCCAAGAGGGCCCAAGATCGCCCCCGACACGGCCCAGGGGACCCCAAGACGGCCCAAGAGGGCCACAAGACAGCCAAATATACCACCAAGACGCCCCAAGAGGGTCCCAATAGTTAGGGGCACTCGAACTGACATTTCGAGCCCGCCGCCCAATGATCACAGCCAAGATGGCCCCAATAAGCACCAAAGAGATCCCCACAGGTCCCCAAGAGGCCCCAAGAGGCCCCCAAAACGCCCCCAAATACCCCGCAGAGGCCCCACGACACCTTAAGATTACTTTCACATGTATAAATTATTCACTGCGTGGAGCTCCCCATATGTGCATCTACTCGCATGGACCTGTCCGCCGTGAATGTCTAGGCGCAAGAGCTTTCGAATATTAACGGGCTTCAGTTGTGACGGTCTGGACATCAATCTAACTGCGAATGAATTGGAGTGTGAATGAGCCTCAGTAGTACGAGCGCGTCTCTGTGCATGAGCCTGGGGCCTCCTGGGGCCTCCTGAAACCTACTGGCCTCTTGGGACCTCCTGGGACCTCCTAGGAAGGTTTCGTGCCCCAGGAGAGGCGCAATCTATAGCAACAGACGTACATAAAACATTGCGGATTAGAGCCACAGGAGAAGGGCAATCTATAGGAACACGCGTAAAACACCAAGGACTCGTGCCCCAGGAGAGGCCCAATACATAGGAACATGAGTAAAACATTTAGGATTGTGTACACAGGAGAAGGACCATCTATAGAAACATACGTAGAACATCAAAGAATCGTGCTCCAGGTGAGGCCCAATCGATAGGAGCATACGTAAAACACATGGGATTGGAGCCACTCCTGTTGCCTTCTGAGGCCTCCTGCTCCTGGGGCCTCTCGGGGCCTCCTGTTGCCTTCCGAGGCCTCCTGGCGCTTCCTGTTGCCTCCTGGGGCCTCCTGTGGTTTCCTGAGGCCTTCTGGAGCTTCCTGGGGCCTCCTGGAGCCTCTTGGGACATCCTGTGGCCTCTTGAGTCTTTCTGTGGCCTCCTGATGCCTCCTGGGACCTCATGTGGTCTCCTGGGGCCTCCTGGAGCCTGTTGGAGCCTCCTGTGGCATCCTGAGAAGAATCTGCGCCCACGAGCCTGGCCACCAAAACAAGCAAACCGATCGAGACATCCTCAAAATCTGGCCCACCTGGGGGGTGAAAATGAGCGCCTCGCTCGAGACATCCTCCAAATCTGCTCCGAAAGCGAAGGATGTTGGGCCCAGAAACAAGCAAACCGCCTGAGACATCCCCACAAAATGGCCGCGAACGAGCCCGTGCAACCACCCCTGGCGGCTCCCCTTAGGGGTGCTGAAATGAGCGCCTCGCTCGAGACATCCTCCAAATCTGCTCCGAAAGCGAAGGATGTTGGGCACAGAAACAGGCAAACCGCCTGAGACATCCCCACAAAATGGCCGCGAACGAGCCCGTGCAACCACCCCTGGCGGCTCCCCTTAGGGGTGCTGAAATGAGCGCCTCGCTCGAGACATCCTCCAAATCTGCTCCGAAAGCGAAGGATGTTGGGCACAGAAACAGGCAAACCGCCTGAGACATCCCCACAAAATGGCCGCGAACGAGCCCGTGCAACCACCCCTGGCGGCTCCCCTTAGGGGTGCTGAAATGAGCGCCTCGCTCGAGACATCCTCCAAATCTGCTCCGAAAGCGAAGGATGTTGGGCACAGAAACAGGCAAACCGCCTGAGACATCCCCACAAAATGGCCGCGAACGAGCCCGTGCAACCACCCCTGGCGGCTCCCCTTAGGGGTGCTGAAATGAGCGCCTCGCTCGAGACATCCTCCAAATCTGCTCCGAAAGCGAAGGATGTTGGGCACAGAAACAGGCAAACCGCCTGAGACATCCCCACAAAATGGCCGCGAACGAGCCCGTGCAACCACCCCTGGCGGCTCCCCTTAGGGGTGCTGAAATGAGCGCCTCGCTCGAGACATCCTCCAAATCTGCTCCGAAAGCGAAGGATGTTGGGCACAGAAACAAGCAAACCGCCTGAGACATCCCCACAAAATGGCCGCGAACGAGCCCGTGCAACCACCCCTGGCGGCTCCCCTTAGGGGTGCTGAGTATGAGTAAGTCTGTGTATGAGTAAGTCTGTGTATGAGTATGTCTGGGTATGAGTAGGTCTGTGTATGAGAAAGTCTGTGTATGTGTACGTCTGGGTATGAGTAAGTCTGAGTATGACTAATACTGTGTATGAGTAAGTCTGGGTATGAGTGAGTCTGTGTATGAGTACGTCTGGGTGTGAGTAAGTCTGTGTATGAGTAAGTCTGTGTATGAGTATGTCTGAGTGTGAGTAAGTCTGAGTATGAGTAGGTCTGAGTATGAGTAAGTCTGAGTATGAGTAAGTCTGTGTATGAGCAAGTCTGAGTATGAGTAAGTCCGACAGGAGGGGAGGAGAAAAGAGGAGGAGGAAGGAGGAGGAGTAGGAGGCGTCCAAGTAATAACAAGAACCCCATCTTAGGATATGGGGAAAAAACCTCTGGTCCACGACGCAGTCATGGTGGCGGGATGGGTCGAATTCGAATGTCACTAGATCCACCGCCTCCTGTGGGCTTGCCATAGGGGTGCCTGGCGTGCTGAGGTTCAGGTCAGGTGGTGTTGGTTCTACTGAGAACCGGCCCCTGGGCTTCGGCACAGCGCGCCAGCTGCTCCTGCCGTCGGCTTTTTCGCTTACGATGGCCTCCAGGACCTCCAAGAAGGCCAGGATGTCTCCAGAGACTGTCAGGATGGCCCCAAGAGAGCCAAAGATAGTCCCAAGGTGGCCTCCAAGACGGCTTCAAGATGCCTCCAAGACCGCTCAGATGGTCCAAGAGAGCCCAAGGCGACCCCAGAAGCACCCAAGAGTCTCCGAAGATGGCCCAAGAGGGCTCCAAGAGGTCCTCCTGGAGGGCCCGTAGAAACCAACATCATTGATGCGCAAGTTCTTTGTATATTAACTGTTGCATGTCCTTTTTGTCGGCCTTGCGACGGCCCAAGACAGCCCAAGAGGCCCCCTAAATTGCCCCAAGATCGTACAAGAGGCCTCAAAGATGGCCCCAGGACGGCCCAAGAGGCTCCCCAAACGGCCCCCCCAAGAGGCTTCTGATGGCCAGACAGGCCAGGAACGCCGTAAGACAGCCAAAGAGGGCCCCAAGAAGCCTCGAAAGGCCCCCAAGAGGCCCAAGGAGGCCCCCTAGAGGCCACCCAAGAGGCCTCCCAGAGGCCCACGAGAAGCTCCCAGGAGGCTCCGAGAATGCCCCAGGAGGCTCCCGAGAAGTCTCCTCATCCTCCTTTGTCCTCCCTCTCCTCATCCTCTTCTTCCTCCCCAGCTCCCTCAGTGCCTTCCCGAGGCCTCGTGATCTCCCTTCAGGGTCAGCGGAACTGGCCGTAAGGCCTCTCCAACAAGGCCTCGTTCGACTTCACGAACGAGAGAAAGGGGGCGCGGCGGACACAGCTTGCCGCGCAGTTGGACTCATTGGCTTCGCGAATCCAGCGATGCGCTCTGGCAGAGATGGAGACGCAGCAAGGGACTAGTGCTGCGCAAACGAGGAGCTCACGTCACTCCCGCCTCCCCGAAGAAGCTTTCAAGCCGACGCAGTCCACCGAGGCTCCAAGGCAGCGCTAAGGAGCCCTCATGATAGCCCGAAAGAAAACAGAAACGCCAGAACAAACCACCTTAGGACCGATCTTCTTCCAGAACGCCCAACACCAGAAACTGGATAGCATCATATTTTCGTGTCCGGACTTCTGTG